TAAAAATTCTACAATTAAGCAATCAGCTTGAACTAAAAGCAAAATAAAATAAATTTCGAATTCGCACCCCTGATCCTCAAGAGCATGAATGATCTGGTGAGCTCTTAACTGTAATGCTCAAAATCGGACCGAAAAGAATCTAGCAATATGATTACATTTGAATGACGTCTGTTGTTTACCCTTTGTAGACTAATTCGGGATGTAAGCACAATTCGCGTCATAACTTTATTCTTTTTTTTTGACGATCCATTTTCATTTTCATTTTCCTTGTGCATTTTTAAATGCCTAGTGAGATATGTGCGTACGTATGAATATGTGTGATTATGTATATATGCCAGGTCATGGATCATAACTTACTTTTGATACCATGTAACCAAGTCCAACCTGTCGCATGTTACTTGGGGAGATAATGGGCACCGTTAATAGAAATGCTATGAAAAGCAATTGCTCAGCGTGGCGCCTTAAGGATCTCATAGGTGAAAACTTAACTGGTATATATATATATATATATAAGAAACAGTAATATTTCGTTAAAAACAAACAAAAGAGTTGTTAACAGTTATATAATATCAGTCTTCCTATATAGCAGTGAATGCTAGACAATTTCATCAGAGATGAAGAAGAGGCTTTAATAAGGAGGGATTTGGTTCTACAGAAGGACACTGAGAAAGCCATGGACTGAACAGGTGAATAACAAGGAAGTTTTAAAGAAAATAGAAACGAAAATGTATTCTTACTGTGGAGTAATGGATAGCAGCTTGGATTGAGGAATCGGAAAGCCGAGTTCGAATTCCAGTCGAATCCATTATATTCACTTAAGTGCTAATACCCTTGGGAAAGATATGAATCTTCTTCTCCGCTCCCAGCTATTGGTAAATAGCAGAACAGACCGGGTTCTAAAGAATTGGTTGGCAACTGGTCTACCACAGAAAGAAATGCCAACCTATATATATATATATATATATATATATATATATATATATACAAACACTTTTGTAATTATTCAGTCCTGTCGCCAGGAGGTTTCAGATATATACTTATAATGTTCTCATAATTTTCTCCCTTGAGAGTGGGAGGTTTGATTATTTTTTTATGTATTGCACGGTTTAGTTATACAGAGGGTGCGATGGATAAATTGTCGTCTAAATGCCGCCAAAATGATAATAACACTGACATCTCATTTTAACGGATATATTTACCAAAATTACAAAAAAAATTATCTCGAAACACCAAGGAGTAAATTTATTCAATAAAACCGCCATTGGCTTCAACCATGCCCTCCAGACGACTTCAGAATCTCCTGCATCTCTTCTGGATGGTCTCTTTGTTGAAGTTGGTGAATGCTGCCATAATCCTTGCCTTCAGTTCATCTTTGGTATTACAAGGAGTTTTGTTGGTTTTTCGCACAACTGCGCCCCACACATAATAATCAAAGGGGTTGAAGTCTGGGGAGTTGGATGGTCACTTGTAGGTGGTTATGTGGTCGCAGAAATTGTCTGACAGCCATGACTGTGTTCATGTAGCATGGTGCAGAGTCCTGTTGCCAGACATAGGATCTTTCAGTAGCCACTCCATTGATCCAACGCAGCAATACCTCCTCAAAGCACTTGATGCAGCCTCCGTGTTGAGTCTGAGGCTTTGTGGGAATCGAGACATTACTTTGCTAGCACTAGTGATCACTCCAAACACCTTAGTAGTCACCATTATACTCATCCAACTCTTACCGAATCCTCTGCACTGTCCTCAGATTGGCTACCAAACACTCCGAAATGACTTTATTGGAGCTTCCAGTGTAAATGCCAAACAGTACAGTATGTTGTTTCCAAATTTCTGGCGGAGTGAATTGAGTTATGGTGCTCTTTTTCTCACGGACGGTGCCCAACTGACCCTACTATACAGTGCAGTCGACAAAATCAAAAAGCAAACAGCGGGCATGCGCGAAATTAAAAATATAAAATGGAATCAATTTACCCATTACACTTTGTATAGAGAGATTTGATATATAAGCTATATATATATATATATATATATATATATATATATATATATACTAGCAGCATGGCCCGGCGTTGCCTGTGCTTGATTCAAAAATCGTACGACTCATACAGCAATCGCTATCACTTTACTTAAAATAGTTTTGCCCTTCCTTGCCTTTAAAGGAGTGCCCTTTGCCCTGCTGATGTTGCTACATGCCGTACTTCTTGCCTATCTCACATTGCGAATTTTTTCTAAGCTCTATACTAAACATTAAATCTGTTACGAAAAAAGAACTAAACAAAATGAATACAAAACGATCAGCTTTAAAAAGAACCCGTAACGGGAAAAACCGAATGAAAAAAGAATGTTAACAACAAATACTTTTTCACACCCAACCCAGTTCTGCGGAATCAGAATCAACGTTGTTTAAGCAAGCGAATGAGCCAATTGGAGTAAAGTGCCATGCAGATTTAAATTTTTCCCACTTGCGACAAATGCAGCTATCGATTTTTTTTTTTTTTTTGCATGCTAGTATGCTAGTTAACATTCGTGTCAGTCAGCTGTTGGCTTTCACGCTGGCCAATAGAATCTTCCTGCCTATTCGTGGCAGCCAGCTATTGGCTCTCACTCTGGCCAGTAGAAAATGGCCGCAAACTACATGAAAACTGCCGTAGAAGCATGAAAAGATCGATTACTTCCACTATCGATGGGAGTTGGGAAATGCAAAGTCGGTCTTGGCCTTCCCGCTAACTTCGAGCATGTGCATGTAAATTTTGGTGCAAATCCGTCGAAAATTGCGGCCGTGCGTTCGTTACGCACACACACACACATGCTGCCTTTTACACGCGCGCGCACACACACACACACACACACACACACACACACATATATATATATATATATATATATATATATATATATATATTTGTTTTATTTGTCATATTCAAGGTTTAAAATCTATTTATGAGATTGCCTGATTTTTAATGTGTGCTGAGATGATTGTTCCCAGGAGGAGAGTTTAGATTTTTGCTAATATAAAACAATCAGCGAGTGGCGGTGGTAAAAAAAACAGCGTTCGATTTAAAATAACAAATACAAAACATTACACTAATATACACTTGTTCTTCACCCTTCGGTTGTTTGTTGTACCTCGCCGAGGAAGATATATATATATATATATATATATATATATATATATATATATATATATATATATAATTATTTATTTTAAAAAAAATTTATAACATAAATATGTTATAAAATCACTACAAAAATAGCCATTTTGTTTCAACACCCTCGGTGTCTTATCAAGTGATGTTGTTGAGTGTAAAATAAATGGTTTTAAAAGTTTCAAATTAACAATCCTTCACAAGGGGAAAACGTTGTTACAAAAGCTAGATTGACCAATCAAAATACAAGTATAGGAAAATTCAAAAAGCTTGACAACGAAGTCATGTTATAATATCTATTCAGATGTTTAAAATATAGGTAGTATTAAAAAAGAATTTATTCCAACCAATAATTACTAAATTATATGATAAAATTTAATATTAAAATTAAAAACTACTAATTTCAAAATCGAAACTTAATCGCTATTAAGTTTACAACTATAAAATTATTGAGGAGAAAAGAAGAAATATGTTATTCAATTTATTTCTTCATTGAAGTTACTTTAGCTAATTTCATATCCGGTCCATTGATAATGTATACATTTTAATCCTAAGAGTGTGTGAATGGGGTCCTAAACTCACGCGTAAAACAAACGCAATCAGATTCTAATATATAAGCACCCAAACATATTTATATATATATATATATATATATATATACACACACAAAAAGAGATGAGACAGAGAACACCTTCACGGTCTGTCATGAAAAAAAAAAGGAAGTGGGGGGGGGCAAGGGAAACCAACACACACGTACAAACAAACACAATTAAAAGTGAATGCACTTTCCATACACATAGACACCTATAAATACATGCACACACATCTACAGACATTGACCCAGACAATCGGATACCACAACCGATAAATATTTAAGACTGAAATTGTCATTACACAAATGCTAACCACATATTGAAATATAACTTAAGCGAGGAAATATACAAAGATAAAAATGATTAAAAATAGTATTATTTAATATATTAAAATAGTGAATGTAAATATAAAATCGAACATCAAAGTCAACACCCATAGGTAACTTGATGTCCATATATATATATATATATATATATATATATATATATATATATATATATATATATATATATACATACACACATATACACACATATACATATATATATACATACACACATATACACACATATACATATATATATATACCCACACACATACACATATATATATACAAACACACATATACATATACACATACATACATATATATATATATATATAAAATAATTTTCCTTACATACATATATATACATATATATATGTATATATATATATGATAAAAATATAGTTTAAGTGTATATTATACTTATAGGTTAAAGTGCCCACTATCAGGGATAGAGCTTATTTATATATAAAAGTGGACATTGTGGTCAACACCCAGCTGCGACAGGCCTTTTCATGATTATACGTTTAAGCATGAAAAACACACACACACACACATCTCAATTAAAAACAATAGTGAGCAAACATGAACAGATGTTCCCCACCATAAGACGCAATATATATATATATATATATATATATATATATATATATATATATATATATTTGGTTGGATTGACGTGAGTTTGTGACCATGGGTTTCACGCATTTGCAATCGTCAGACAAACTGATTATTTTTTTTTTTAAATTTTGAATTTATGTAAGTTGCGTGTATTGGTGTTATTATGGAGGTGGGAGAGAAATCGTTGTCGCTATGTAACTCATGCTAACGCAAACACACATATATATGTATATTTATATTTATATACACACACTTTTCCTATATATATATACTGCGTCTTGTGCAAACATGAACAAATGTTCCCACTATAAGACGCAATATATATATATATATAGAGAGAGAGAGAGAGAGAGACAGAGACAGAGAGAGACAGAGAGAGAGAGACAGAGAGAGAGAGGGTAGGGAGAGAGAGATTGCGTCTTATGGTGGGAACATTTGTTCATGTTTGCTCACTGTTGTTTTAAATTGAGATTTCCTCCTATCGCTACAAATATATATATATATATACATATACATACATACATATATATATATATATATATATATATATATATACACACACACACATATATATATATATTTATATATATATATATATATAAGGCAAGGTCCCTTAAAAATGTAGGTGGTGATGGCTCTCCACAGATTACTTATCTTTGTTATATGTTAATTACTATGAATTCTTAAGGACAATAGTAGAGTTTTCCCGTTTCCTTCGCTGTGATTTAGATTTCAGAATTTTTCTTTCACTACAAAAAAGAAATATAGAGAGCTCAGTGTACTTCACTATTTAACCCATAGCTCGGAGGAGAAGAGGTATACTCATGCTATTCTCAAGCTCACTGGTGCAAAATTGAACGCAATAAACTATCCCGGAATGTGAACTTGTATTAAATGCCAACAAATGGTCATATTGACAAAAATCTGAGAACGAACAAGCGACGTGGTGCGTAAGAATCAATTTCATGCTGAAATGACAGCCTGCGTGACTATTAGTCGCGGGAAACAGACTAATATATGTTGTCTGTGTTGGAAGGTGGCAAAGGGTTGGTTTGAATAGAACGGAAGTCTTGAAAAACCTGACTCCAGCAGCGCCCCCTGCCGGCAAGTGAAATGTCGATAACTAAGTTAATGACGTTTACACATGATATCGCGTTAGTTTCTGACGCTTCACACAGATACTGGTAGCTAAAAATGAAAAAAAAAAAAAAAGAAATAATGGAAGTAGGGTTTTCTCGAAGACCCCGTTCAACGAATCGACGGATTAGGACGCCGTAGAAACAGCCTAATGACTGTGAAGATGTGTAAACTTCACGGTGGGAGTTCGTATGGGCGTATCTTTAGAGACATTAAAACGGGTGTTATTTCAAACGTGTTTTGACACGTATATCCCGACAAGATTTAAACTTACATCCTGTGCTAGTAAAAAAAAAGAAAGAAAAAAATAAGAAAACGTGCGAAATTAGAAAAACATTTAATCGAAAAACTTCAATTTTCCTCCATTTTGCTTTATTTAGTGGCATAATGGCGATAAAAAATATACAATGATTTGTCCAAAATCAGAATATCTATGCACGCGACCTAAGATCAAAATGTCGGTGCCCGAGTATCTGTCGACGATCAGTGATTTTTTTTTGTTTGTTTTTTTGTTCTTGTTTTACAGTTTCCACAATACAAGGATCGAGAGACATTCAAGGTAGAGGTAGGTAGGCTACCTCTGCGCTATGCTTAAATTACTATTTACAAGTTAATCTTAGTGTGCTGTTCAACGCTGATGCAATAGATACGTTACTTTTCTGTTTATATGCAGATCGAACAGTCGAATCTGAATGAGGTGCATTTGTTTATAAGTTAAATATGTTAATTTTAAACACAATACCTAAGGTTTAAAATGGATTTTTAAAAATCAAAAACATCCTGGGTGTAATGACAAACTACATCCGGCAGCAAGGCCTCTGAATGGGAGGTACTGAGGAGCGTGAAATCACCTCTTAAATGTTGTTGTTCCCAGGTTCACCCAGACCTGAGGTGGTAGTACCTGTTAGGGTCCCAGCTATGGACAAATAGTAAACCCTTAAACTGGGGTCAAAACACTATGAAAGTATAAAAATACATTTTTATAGTAGAAATACCAGCAATACATTTTAGAAAAAAAATTACCTGGAAAAAAATTACCAGAAAAAAATTTACCAGGAAAAAATTACCAATAATTTTTTTTTTTTTTAAATAAATATTACCAGCAAAACATTTTTGGAAAAAACAATATTAATATATATTCTATTCATATAAACCTCTCCTCTGACGTAAAACAAACCAAACCAAAAATGAAAAATCTTTCTTGAAGCTTGTATTTTAGTTTTCGTTTCAAACTAATAGATTAAATTTAATATTTTCAATATGCAAAACACATTTCTCAATTTCAAAACTAATTTAAATTAACTGGCAAGAGTTTTCGTTTTTCCCTTGCTAAAATAGCTGATTTTAGCGCCATTATAAGCCATCTTTCAACACAATGTAATTTATTTTATTAAAAATATTTCTTTCTGGGACTTTATTTGAGGAATTTGAGCTGATTTAAAGTTTAAATAATCTGATTTGAAACAATTATTTATTTACTTTAAGTTTGAAAAATACTTTTTTTTAACGTGAAGGTAACTGCTGACAATATGACATCTTTAATGACAGACGTATCTGTAAAATTGACCTGGGGCATATAATGTGAGCGCCTTTTTTATATAATTTTTAACTACCCAATAATCTTAAAAAATTATCAAAATATTCTCCATAATCTAGTGTTTTATTGGAATTTATTTACTTTGGTTTTAAATTTACTATAGTTATCGCTCATATTTTCTGATAATGTCGTGTATGGACATCCGTATTTGCAAAAATAAATTTGTTTATATACACAAAATAAATTTCAAAATTCTTTTTAAAATCTGTCTATATTTCTGAGATGAGGTATTATGTAAAGTATTTACATTAGTCGGACTATTGTCCTCATCTTTGTCGCCATATTTGTCACAACGTTTCCTCAAGGACACATGGCACAGTGGATAAAGACGTTGGTTAGATCCAGTGACAGACCCAAAGAAGGTGAGTTCAATACCTGGTTAAGGCAGTGGAGAACTTTCAGAGGGGAATTAACAGGTGATAACTGACATCCATTAAAACATGGCACGTGGAATTAGAACAGTCTACCCCAGTGATCGAAATAAAGGGTTCAGTTCGAAATTCCAACCACCTGAAGAAGGCCGGAGCGTACAACGGCCGAAACGTTGTGACAAATATGGCGACAAAGATGAGGACAATAGTCTTTTTAAAATATTGGGTATCGGTGAATTGTAATGAGCTCCTCAATGTATGAATAGTAAATATAGACATATAGTTTTTATTTAATAGCAGTATCACCTAACCTCTGCAAAATAAGGCAAAATTTTAAAAGATTTAAATGTCTATAAATTATTAAAATTTTAATAAGATGAAAACAATTTTTGTAAAAATTCATTATTCATCAAAAGTTTTATTTTCTGAAGACAGTAGTGTCTATAATGTATCTTCTTCCTAAAAGGAATTAATAGCTTTTCTAATTAAATAATATTTTCGTTTTATTGCATTTTTTTATTTTACGTTTAAGATTTTCGTTAACTGAGGTTTCTGTTTTACAAAAAGAATTGATGATTTAAATTCACCAAGGACTTCTGCTTACAACTCATATAAGCATTAAGCTCTACAAAATTAATTCCTCAAAATTTCCTAAAATTAAATAAGTGGGAGAGTAAAAGATGTAAAAAAAAAATTTTTTCTCAAGATTTCCTAAAATAAAAAACCTTACTAAAATATTTTAATTCATTTGTGAATAAGTTCTGAAAGTTTATTTAAAATGCGACGATTATTTGATTTTGGTAGAATTTCAAATTCAGTGTGTTTTTCACTGCGAAAAAAATAGAATTTCCTATACTAATCTTGACACACACACACACACACACACACACACACAAAGATTTTTAACCAAAATTTCGAACGTTCTAAAATGGATCAAAAGTATAATTAGATAATGAAAAAATACTTTGGTCTTTCCTCTTAATAATAGCATAAAGATTTTGACGATAAAACTTTGTTTTTATTAAGTTTGAGACATTTTTTTTTTCATCATTGTATGCTAAATTTTACCAAATTATTTGCGTTACCTACTTTAACGTGACAAAAGTTACGAAAGAAGTAAGAAAGGAAAATATCTATAAAAACTCACAGTGTTTATTATTGTACACTATTTGTTACCTGGGGAACAAAAATCACATTTGAACATTTATTAGATGATTAATTTTGAGAATAAACTAAATTATATTAGATATATTTAAATTTTTAATTTATCTAGTCATAGTATTGCCGCTCGGAAGGAGGATCTATCTACAATGAGATCTTAAAATGTTATTTACTCTAGTGGAAGTGTTATGCGAAAAAGGAAAATTCCCAGTTTGCATTTCCCCCATTATGAGAATTATTATATACATGATATAATAACACACCTTAGAACACGGATAGAACGGGATAACTGAAAGAAAGGGAATAACAAACATGCTTTGTCCTCAGAGTTTTATACCGCTGTCATGCACAAAATTATATACAAATATTTACATGCGCCACATACAGAGAAAGTATACGACACATATGCAACAACAAGTAGTGCGAAAATGTAAAAAGAGAGACAAGGTGTTACTTGTAACAATTCCCAATGGGGATTTGAACTGCCGAAGGATTCTTCAGTGTTTCTGGAGAACATATGTTTATACTTCCCAACGGGGATTCGAGCCAGCCGCATTTATCTTCTATGTCATTAGCAAGGACATATTTCCTAAACAGGAAACGGCGAATACTAAAAAAAGTAAACGCTCTGTTATCTCCTGTAATCTAAATGACTGACTGACCACTTTCGTTACTTTGAGAAGTGACGTCACTTAGCAAATAAGAAGAACTCGAACACAGGTATGGAATAACACAGATATATTACAAACAGGAATATATAAGGAGAAGTAGAAGTGTTAGTATGAACAATCAGGTTTAGTAGAGAGAACAATGTAGTCTCGACCAGTATCACTATTCCAATGTCTTGCAGTAATTGTCTGAACGCGACTCTGTTTCGGACTGCTTCTGACTCGACTCTTGATTCGACTTGAACTACTGACTGACTCGAACTACTGACTGATTTCACTTGCCTACTCCTGAGTCGCAGTATTTATTAAGTATGGAATAGTCCATTATTATTATTATGGGTAAGACCCCATAACAATAATATTGTTAAAATTAATGGTAATGGTAAAATTAATGGCAATGATAATGGTAAAATTAATGGTAATAATAAATTAATAGAAATGGTAACGGTAAAATTAATGTTACTGTTAAAATTAATATTAATGTTAAAATTAACTGTTTCTCTACATTA